GTTTTAATAGATTTTAAGAATTATGTTAAAATTGGTTAGTTGATTATTAATGAATTAAGAAAAACAAAATCTAAATCTAGGAAAACGTGACACTAGGTTTTTTGTTGTAAAGTCTCTATCCTATAAGGAACATGCATCCTAAGTCTATGTTTTCTAATACTCGGTCCTTAATTTTTGTCCTTAGATGTCATTAATGTTTTATGATCGAAAGTGATGTTGTTCTTTAATCCCTAAGACTTCTATACGGATGTCGCAGGATTTTAGGGATCTAGAAAAATAAAAAGTAAAGCAATCCTAGTTATAATTGAATCTTCTACAAGGCCCTAAGGGTGGGAGACGTGCAAACATCTAGGCCCCTAAAGGTTTTCTAAGTTTTAGTAAACTTACAGCACCGAGGGCTACGACCCGGTGGTTCCGCCCGTAGCGCCTCTACCAGATGGGTAGGGACGACTGATGCTTGGATCCGATTGTCCTAGCTCCCTCTCCAAATGCTCTCACGCTCCTTGTCATTTGCTTCCCAAAAGGTACCTCGCATGTCATAGAAGAAAGAGGGATTAGAGCAGTTCTATAAGCAGTTAATAATCTGAAAGAATGAGAATGCAGAAAAATAAAAGAACGTACCTTCTGTTACTTGTTGAGTCATTTGTGCTTTGGGTTCTCCTTAGTTTGCAAGTGTGCAGTACCGAAATGCGAGAGAAACAGTGAAGAAGCTAACAATACTAAGCAAAAGATAACTAAATGTGAAGAATATAAAAAGAACGAAAAATCAAATACAAAAAGGGGTGTGGGCATTGTTGTTATTGGATACACTTCGTAGAAGTCAAGTGCATCCTATAACAGCAACAATGCCCTTTGTTGTTCCCACTCCAAACGAGGCACTTGATATTTTGACACATCTACCTACGACATACTCTAAACAAGGCCTACAATAACTAAGGGAAACAAACCTTCTAAGGTTAAGCTTAAAGCTAGACCTCATTCTGTTTCAGACTCATCCAAAGTTTTATGCCCCTTTTTTATAAGATAATACTAAAGAATCTAACTCAAATAAGTAAGGACTATCTTACTCCCAAAAAGGGACTAGAGACTTTCCAACTTAAAGCTCCCTAATACCTCAAACTCCAAAATCCATCCTATAGGAAGAGACTCTAAGAGAATCTAACCTAAAACCCCCTAAAGTCTAAACCTCAAAATTCATCCTTAGCCATAATCACTAAAAGATTTTAATTCCAATAGAAAAGCACTAAGTACTCCCCCAAAAGACACTAAGAGATCCTTCTACACGAGTTTAATCTACAAAATTATAGACCTCAAAATGATTTGCAAGAACTGTTACATGAACTACTACAAAATCTTCCCAAAAGTTATCTACTAAAATCTCTTTTCCTCTTCATTTTGACACAAAAACTCTACAAAACCATCTTCTAAAATCTCCTCTCTCTTTTTTTTGACACAAAATCCTACACAAACAACCACTAATCAAGTGCCCCTCCTCTCATTTGGAGTGGGGTAGACATACATAAAAAAAACTCAAAGCTTTCCAACGAGAAGGATTTATAAAAAAAAAATCCCTCATTGTATAGCTTTTATCATAAAACATTCTTAAAACAAACAAAAAAAAACACATAAAATCTCAACACAAGCCGATCCGCAAAATCCATAAAACAAAACCTATCGATGCAAAACAACTCATAAAGCCTCTATCTATCCTCTCATGCTAATACAAAGGAATCACTCTATAAAACATTCCAACCATAAACCAATCCATTGAGATATTCTAACAAAGTTGTCAATACCACTTCCATAAAACCGAATCAAGTGGAGAAATGAAGCAAAGAGATACTTCACCATCTATGAACTTTTATACCTAAACATGCTTCTAACCATATGAATTGTTTCGAATACATGAAGTACATGACTACCTCCAAAGGAGTTTGTAACCTTTCTACTATATGCCAACAAAAGTTTAATAAAAGTTCCAACCCAAACTCATAAACATTTTATTAAAGTATATGATATTGCAAGCCTCTTAACTAATGAGTATATAAAAAAATTGTCTCCAATCCATTCCAAAAACTATTTTAGAGCATAAACAAGTGAAAGCCTGCATTCGGGTCGTTCCCAAAACAATGCGGCACATGAAAACAGTTAAAAAAAAACTACACTTATATCATTTCTGACACATTTAGAAGCTAAAACAATAGGAAAAACTGCATTCATTTGCTTAAAAAAAGTTTATGACTCAAATCAAATTAAAAAAAAAAAAAAAAAAAACTACACTTATCCTCGCATAATGTCATTACACCAGAAAATCAAGAGCTTAAGTATTTATCGTATCAAACCTTGGTGCAAATATATGGTATTCAAAACACATGCTCTTTCATACAATACTATGTATAACAAATCAACTCCTTGCTATATTTTGTTTTGAAGAAATAAGGTAACCATTTCTTTCTCAAAGCCATGTAATTAAACCTAAGAAAATCTTCCCAGGTTTTTTTTTTTTAAAGAAAAAGAAAGCTCTCATGTGCACATTCCCAATCAGATATAAGATAACAAAGAGGATTTGATGCGACCGTACTTCCTCAATATTCAAGAAAATATTCCAACCATCAATGAGTGATATCACATTTGGGTATATGCAAAACCTATACCCGAGGCACATAACAAAGAAGAAAATCCAACTTTTCTCTAATTTACAACAAGCCTCATTGCTTTCCTTTCCAACAAGATTCTCATAACAAGCATGAAAACATAGTCCTCTAAAGCAAGAAATAGAAACTTGAAACAACCAGATTTTTTTTTTTTACAACAAACTTTCTGATTTCTCACAAGAATGATATTAACATGAAAATTTTGCTTGGGTGAATGAGCCTACACACATTTTATTAAACCAAAACAGGATATGCAACCATCTCATGAGAACCAATCAACTTTCAAAACATGTATATAGAAGCAAGAACATGAATCTATAACTTGAAATTCTAATTAAACTCTCCACTTAATGCTAGTTAGAAGCTTTTCAAACTTAAAGCCTTCCATAAGTTTCAATAATGACGAAACCATTAGCGTTCATATAGGATTTGGCAAAACCACAAGAGAGAGTACAAAATTTTCTCATGAAATCCTTAGACATACTTTACCAAACAATTGAAAATGCAATAATATGAAGTTGAGCAAATGACATGAAAATCAAACTTTTACTGTGCTCAATCACAAGAGAAAAGACGCTTTACTCTTGCTCTCATTTCCTCTTTACTCACAGGAGATCATAATTGTCTGATACACTAAGTAGTCAAACCAACAATGCAAAAGACAAGACTTCACCAAATTATTTCCATCGAATGAAGCCATCAAAGCATGCTAGCCTAACACTACAGCATTCCAATCTCAAAAGGATCTCATCCAAACAGCCAACTAGAAGGAAAGAAAAGAATGAAAAGAGAAAGAAATGTAAGGAATGGAGAAGAAGGAAAAGGAAGGAGGAGCAAGAAGAAGAAAACACTCACCTTGCAAAGGAACAACCGAGGCGAGTCGGTGGCCTCGAGTCTGGGTCGATTGCGAGCAAGGCAGTCGAGAACGGTCCGGAGAGGGAATCTCGGGTAGCTACCGTCGGGTTCGGAAGAGGGGCTGCCGGGATCGGTGCAGGCGGGAGCTGCTGTCGGGTTCGGGAGGAAGCCTGTCGGGGGGAGCTCGGCTTGCAGTGAGGAGTCCGGCCTTGGCGTGCGATGACGAGACGGAGAGGATCGGGGCTGCCATCGGCTTGGGATCGTGACCTGGCTGGGGTCGGACGATAGCGGGAGTTCCTGGGTTTCGGTCCGAACAGGAGAGAAATCGGAGGGAGGTAGGGCGACAGGTTTGGTCTTGCAAACGCAAGGAGGCTGGAGTCGGGCTGGGGTCGCGCGAACAGGGGAGCTCAGGCGGCTGGGGACTTTGGAACCGAGAGCCAGAGAGCGGGAGAGCGTTTTAGAGCGAAGAAAACTGAATGCCCTGAGCGTGAGAGCTTGCGTCTTGGTAAAATGAATCCTTTTTTTGGAACAAGAAGCCCGCCAATTCCTCTCCTTCGCTCTGACCTTCGAAACCTTCCTAAAATGACTCTTCTCGCTGCTCGATGCCTGCCCGAGATACAGAGAATCGCTGAGGGACGGGATACGGGCTGAAGCGACGATCTCATTTGATCACAGCCGTGGACGAGTTTACTAGATTTAGGATATAGATTCAAAACATATAGAAAGTCAAGTGGCATTTAAGTAGTATCAAATTGGGCTAAATTAATTCAGATTTGGCTGAGATTAGGTTAGACTCGGGTCCAAATTTTGACTCTATTTGAGTCGATTCGGCCCCGAGGCGGCACAACAAACTTAATCGCACAAACTCGGGTTCAAAACAATAATCAATTTAAATGAAATTAGGTACGACGCTACAAAAACAAATTAAACGAGTCTAATTGAGCACATTCGAGTCCGATCCGGCTCGAGTCGGGTCGATTCGAGTTTGAATTGGCTCGACGAGGTTCGATTAAATCGATCGAAGATGCTCGAAGGTACTCGAGCGAAAAACGAGGTCAACAACCCATCCAAATATTGTAGTTTGGAACATCAGGGGTTTCAACAACCCTGATAAAGTTTTATGTTGCAAAAAAGTGGCTCAAGAACACGATATTCATATTTTCTGTCTCTTAGAAAATTGAATTTTACTTCAGAATCTAGATGATCCTTGGTTCTGTTCAACGCACAAGATTTTCAACAACGAACTGAGTTGTCATAACTTCCATACCGCTGTCCCTGGCCGTATTTGGATTAAATGGAATGCTAGTAAGATCAACTTCTCTCCTACGATTATTTCTAAGCAAGTTGTTGCTGGCATAGTTTACAACGGAGATCTCCCTCCTTTCCTGCTATCTGTAGTTTATGCTTCCAATTCTTTTGAGGAACGGAATATCCTTTGGGATGAGCTTAGGCAAATTGCGGAAAATAATGGTTTAGCTTGGGTTTTTCTTGGGGACTTCAACTGTTGTAGGTTCCCCTCAGAAAAATCAGGTGGGATTGCATTAAATCATTCCAAGCTGGCTCCTCTTAATTCGTGCATTTTTGATGCACAACTTGAGTATTTTCCATCGTCTGGTAATTTCTTTACATGTTTTAATCAAAAGGCGGACAACCTTATTCATCTGAAGCTGGATCGTGTGCTCATTAACGAATCTTGGATAACTGCTTATCCAAACTCCTATTACAAAGACTGCAATAGTCTTGTTTCAGATCACACTCCTCTCATTCTCAAATCCAAGTTGGTAAGAACCTCTTCTAAAAGGTTTATGTTTAAGAACTTCTGGTGCAATATCACAGAATTTTGGGATATTCTTATCAATATTTTTGCCTCCCCCTCCCAAGGCAACCCTGTTAGTTCTCTCTACCATAAGCTTAATCTTTTGAAGAAAGAAATCAAGTCCAAGAATTGGGTGAACTCTAATCATTTAGAGACTAAGTGTGCTGAACTTTCCTCATTGCAAAACCAAATCCAACTTAGAGTTGACTATGATCCTCTTAATGTCAACCTCTGTACTCTTTTTAAGAAGATTAATTGTGAGTATGCTTACTACAATTCTATGAGGGCTAATTGGATTATTCAGAGATCCAAAGTTAATTGGTTAAGGAATGGGGAGGAAGATTTAAAATTCTTATATTCCAAGATTCACAGAAGGAAATCTCAAAATTTGAGCATCTTACATTCCTCTATTTGCCATAATGATCAGCCTCAAGCTGATAATATTCTTGGCATTGTTGAACACTTCAAGGCTCTCTACAACTCACCAAAGCCTCCACTAGTAGATTTGAGTAACATTCCAAGTGGTAATCTTTTATCTGATGAAGCTATCCATTCCCTCATCACTCCTGTTACTAATGAGGAAATCCATGAGGCTCTTAAGTATGGCTGTAACTCTTCAGCACCTGGACCGGATGGCTACAACTTTTGTTTTTACAAAACAACTTGGTCTATTACTAGACCTATGGTTTGCAGAGCTGTTAAGTCCTTCTTCACAAAGAATTATCTCCCCAAAAGGGCCAAAGCTACTGCTTTAGCTTTGATCCCCAAGAAAACTCACGCAGACACCATCCAAGACTATAGACCCATTTCTCTTTGTAATGTTCTACACAAGATTATTGCTTCTAGAATGAAACCTTTTTATGCAGGATATCATTCATCACAGTCAGGCTGCTTTTATCTCCAATATACTATCCACCGATAATTCTATTCTTGCGGCTGATATCATTGGTTTCTTTATCAAGAGGTACCGGGACAAATACTTCTGTGCTAAACTGAATATCAAAAAGGCATTTGACACTGTCTCCAGAGACTTTCTTTTTTGCTAAGTTAGCCCAAAAGGGCTTCCCTCACACTTTTATAAACTGGATTAAAGCATGCATCAATGATACTCACTTCTCTATTTGCATTGAAGGGGGCCTACATGGTTTTTTTAGTTCCTCTTCTGGGCTTAGGCAAGGGTGCCCCCTTAGCCCCTACCTATTCTGCATCATAATGGATGCCCTCTCTTGTCTTATTGATGACTCCTCTCAACAAGACTGTTTTGAAGGCTTTAAGTTGGATAATTTTCAACATACCCACCTTACCTATGCTGACGATCTATTGGTTTTTGGGAAGGCTAATACTAAAAATTGTGACAACCTCATGAAGAATTTGGAGATCTTCTCCAACCTTGCTGGCCTTCACCTTAACCTGCATAAGAGCACCCTTCTCATCTCCCCTCTCATCTCTCAAGCTCTTCATATCCAAAATTGCTCCACCAAAATCTCCTACTTGGGTATACCTATTTCCTTGGGTAGACCAAAATCTCTGACTTCTCCCCTTTGATTGAAAAAGTTACTAACTTGCTTTCCGGTTGGAAAGCAAAGCTTCTCTCTTTTGCAGGTAGATTACAATACATCAAATACACTATTTCTAATATGGTGGCCTATTGGATCCGTGGCTCTAATATCCCAAAAACTATTCTGAAAGCTATTGCCAAAGTTAGTTCAAAGTTTCTTTATCATGGCGACACTAATTCTAAGCGAATGCACCTGATGTCTTGGAGTTCCACTACTAAACCTTTTTCTAAAGGAGGTTTGGGTATTGCCTCACTTCATGTCCTTAAATCTGCTTTTAACTGCCGTATCATTCTTAGAATGTACAACAACAAAAATCCTCTATCTAGCAGGCTGAAATCTAGACACACATCACCTTGGAAACCTTGCAATTCCTTTAGTTCGGGTTTTTGGAAGAGTGTCTACTCTACTGCCATTTTGTTTAAGAGGAATTTCTATTTTCAAATTGCTCCTGACAGTCCTATCGATTGTTACTGGGATCATTGGGTTCTTAGTGAAAGCTTTTCCTCTTTGTTTCCTGGACAAACTCATCCTCTGTCGTGTGGTTCTGGCTGTAACCTAGGAAACTGGATTTTGAATGGTTCTTGGTCTCTTCCTCCTTTTCTGAGTCCTAGTATTAAAGATACAATATATGCTATTCCTATTACTCACAACTGCCCTTATCATATTACTTGGGACAACAATGAGAATGCATCTTTTAAAGATTTCTACAATTAGCATTTTCCAGATTCGGACGTGGATTGGTTTCTTTTAGTTTGGCACAACAAATATTCCATTAGATATTCTTCTTGCACCTGGATTGCTATTAATGGAGGTCTTAAAACTGTTGAAGCTTTGAGGTACAGGAATATTTTCATTGAGGACACCTCTTGCCCCCTATGTCATGGTTTTTTGGAAAACTGCTCTCACTTACTATTTGAATGTGACTACTCTTTTCAACTCATTACTATGCTTATTCCACAATTTAAGAACTTCTATTTGAGACCAAACATTGCCCAAGCTCTTCACTTTATTGATGGGCTGAACATTAACCGTGAAATTAAGAATGCTACTCTTCTTATTTTTCATGCTACTATTTACTTCATTTGGAATGAGCGGAATACAAGGAAGTTTAAAGGTAATTCTGTTTGTGTTACTACTCTTTATAAGAAAATCTCAAGAGTTATTTACCTGAAGCTGAACAAATGGAAAAACAGTCACCTTTTAATTCAAAAGTTGCAACTGTGTTATTGATGCTTATTACCATGGGTCATTTGATTATATTTGCGAAAAATTTGTCCGTCGTGACACCTTTGGGATTCTTCTGGAAACCTTTACTTGGGTTGTTTCTCTGTCTGGACATTGGATATATGACTGGCATTTGGCTTGGTCCTTTCTGGAAGCCTTATTGCAACTTCACGATGAAAATTATCAATCTATATATGGTTGATAGGCTAGCTGGTTGGGGTGTTGCTGAGTTTGTAATACATGGAGAAATTTTCTTGGAAAGCTTTCTGGGTGCATATTTTAAGCTGGAGGTCTTTTACTTGGCTGGTAATTGGCTGAAACATGGAAGGTTCTTAAATTTTTTTTTTTTTTTTGGTTTGTTGGTGGCAATTTTTGCTGGCTGATCTGAGATTGGTTGTTTTTAAGTTGTGCTGGGCAGTCATTGTATCAACGAGATCTTTTGGCAGGATTTATTGACCCGGTCGCTACAGTTGAGGCTCATTTTTGGCAGGTTTTTGGGTCGTGGACGATGATGAAGCCCGCCCCCTCCTTTTGGATGGTCTACGGGCAACCAAAGGAGGATAGATTTATTCTATAATCGTATCTTTTACTCTGAGTCACGACCAAACAGATTATTCTATCTGTTTTAGTTGTTTTTTTACATGTAACTAGTTTTAGTTTGTCTTTCCTTTTCTTAGCTGTAGTTTTTTCTGGCTAAGTTTTTTGTTTTAGGTTGTATTCCTTTTCTTTTAATAGAATGGGCCCTGCCCTTAATTTTACCCAAAAAAAAAAAAGCTTTTCCCACTTTATCCACAGTAGCTCCACTTTCCCTCTTTACAGAATGTTTCTTTTTTTTATTATTATAATAATTACCACTTCC